TTTATCATTTAGAACATTTTCAATTAAAAAGATTGTGTCTATCACAAACGGTTTTCAATCTATAATCATTTGAAAATTTTTAAAAATAAAATCCCATAGGGTTCTATAGTAAAACCCTCTTTTCTTTTTGCCCCTCAAAGTACCCCTTTATAAACCCCATTGCACAAACAAAACCCTGATTGCACCACTAGACATGTTAGTCTAGCATACTTTGAAACCCTAAGTTAATCTGACAAGCGGTTTTGGAGAACGGGTGCGGACAAGTTCAAATTTAAAAGCGGCGGAAGAGGAAGAGGAAGAATAATAATAATAATAATAATAATAAGAACTGAGCAAAAACAATAAGTCTTCCCAAACTTCGTTTGGGAGACTTAATAACTAAAAAGAGGCCTTCGTTTGAAAAAGCTGTGTCAGATGATAGATTATCTTGCACATATTTCAAAAATATACTGTTTGTAATTCAGTCTTTCTTTGAATTACGGGGGATGATAAGCTAATTCAGCGTCAACTGATATCTTACTTCTTTCTGATTCTAAAAATATATGGTTTCTATGTATTTCCCTTTGAAAAAAGGGAGATGCTACTTCCGGTCTACATATATACTCTTTTCGAGTGGGTTAAGGTTGTGAAGTAGTTGATAAAAATCAAGATAAAAAAATGTTGCCTATGAACACGTGTGCTACATCTATCAGGTGCTAGGCACTTTCTGTATAGCAATATCTAGGAGTTTGCGTTGCTTATAATGATTTCTTTGATAGAGAGTTGCTGCTTACAAGGAAGATATTGAATCAAGGGTTCCAATTGAAAAAGTTGAAGTTATCCCTTCAAAAGATTTACGCGGCCATCATGATTTAATTGATCGTTATGGGATATCTATGTTACACATTATTGTTCCACTTCTCCTTATTTTATTTTTATTGTCCTTTGTCCCAAAAAAGCGTGTTTCAATTCCATATTTTTCATCTAACTTTCATATTCGGTCATATTCAGGGTTGTAAAATAAACACGACCGATAGTTCATGAGTATGGAGATGTATTAGGGTTAGATAAGACTCATTCCCGGAGTACCTGAGTTCAACTGTGAAGTTTTTGTTGGGTTTTGTTGCTCAATCTTCAAATTTTCTGTCTAGTGTTGTGAGGACATTGTTACAGTTGTTATTATTTTCGTGGTTTTTCTATTCGGTCATTGTCTGTTTTATTTGACTTATGGTATTTGGTTGCCCCTTTGTATGTTCTCCCTCTATTTATAGCAGTGTCATTCAGCGATAACTAGAATTAATATTATACCAATCCGAACTAAAACGTATAACGAATTGATAAAGTATATTATTGCAGGGTAAGAGTCTAGCTTTTTTGTAAAATTTGACAAAAATGTTGAATCTTGTTAGATTTTTTTTCTCTTTAATAATTTGCGTGTATCTATTATATCTATATGGACTCCTATGACCGTGGTATGCTCCTATTAGACGTGTTAGGAAAGTCAATTTGATTTTGACGCTGATGTTAAATACCAATACCACTACAGGCTCTAGTGGGGACCATCTAAAAAAGCACATAAATCATTCATTATAGTTACCTGTATTGGTTTGTTTGATAATGCTGAGATGATTTTTAAAATAATGTATTCCGCAATACACGGACGAGGATCCAGCAAAACAACACGAACATTATCCTTGCATTGTGTCATAGTATGGATCGATTAATTAAGTTTAAGATCGTTGTTCCCCCATATCTTACTATTTTGTTGAACGACTACAAGGAAAATCTACAAAGTGATCAAAATAGATCTAAATGAATAGAAAAAAAAAACACAGGAATCAAATCACACTCGAATCTGATTTTTTACTCTACATCAATCTTTGTTCAAAACGTTATTTTATTTGAAATTTATTTAAAAAATAATTGTCATGTCGGGGCCTTTCTTAGCTTTTATATGCGGGAATGGTTTTGCTTCATGTTGGGGGTCTGTCATACGGTAATATATAGTTGCAAACATTTACGTCATTTGGTCTCTGGAATATAGTTGTCTATTTTGGCAATCATACCGCATCTCCTTATTTAATATCATTTTCTAGAATAAAGAAATGTGTTACACAGTAGCGTAAAATTCTAAAAATAAACCGAACTAAAAATTTGTGTACTTGACAATTAAAAAACAAGACTGAAACAAAAGCGTTTTCAATGTGATTATCTTTATATTTTTATTTTATCTAGAAAGGTCACTGAAAATTTTATATAATGTTAAATGAATTAGTTCTTATTCACATAAAAAAGTTTGCCCTCACATTTTCCTTCTATTAACTTTTATCAGTTAGTTTTTTCGGAAAAAAGAGGTTATCGAATTAAGGTGGTACCTAACACTACAGGGAGATAACTCTGTAAAAATCAGCTAAACGTTTTAATCATGTTGTATTGTTAAGGAAATATCAACTTCTCAATGATCAACATTAGTGTTTGTCAAACTGTTATATAACCAGTGAAATTTTTCTGATAAAGTGGTTGGTTCAAATTATTTGAATTTTTTATATTATAGGGTCAAAGTTAACATTTTGTCAAAATTTTAGGAAAATTAAACGAGCCAAATTAGTATTAGTCAAGGTGTTGGGTACCACCTTAAGAATTAAAAGATTACAACGTTTGGACATTATCAAGCATGTTAAATTTATCGGTGAAGGGTCGGAAGTTGGTTTTTTTTCTTGTTATTACGGCTTCCTCCACAAACAAAACATAACACCACGATTAAATTGAGATATTGTTGAAAGTGGCGTTAAACTTTCATATGGAGAAGTTAATGTTAGTATCTTTGGGTCAGGAGGTTATTTTGAAAATGAAATATTCATTTTCACCTCTTTCAAAACAAAGTCTGCTAAATTAAATGTCGGGCTTTTTTTTTTTCGATTTGCTTCATTTTGTTTTGCCTTAGATTCACTATACACTCCGCTTTCTAGACGGTATATAGTGATGGATGAATTGATCCATCCGTCCGTTCTTTCGTCCCCCTGTCCATTCATTGCATTCATACCCAGAAAGTAGTAGACAATACGAATCACATATAGCTCATGGAAAGTGGTTTTCTTGAACATTAAAACGATGCGCAGCAAGACAACCTTCTACTGTAGCCCCCTGCTTCTCAAAGTTTTATATATAGAAAGAGCACTGTATCCACTTGTGTCCACTTTTTATTTCTTTTTTATATATAGATATAACGATGAGTTCATATATGTACTGATTTGTTTAATCCACACATACATACGCGTCCTTGTATCTCTGGACACAAAACGATGCTAACTATATTTTGCAACAGAAATAGAACGTATCTATTGTGGAGAGACAAACTGAGTTATTTAACTATTAAACCTATTCTAATCATATCGCTTAATATATATATTTGGACTTGTGGCCGTAAAATCCGTCATTCCCATTCATGACTCTTACATATATTTTTGTTAAGTTTTGTTTTGCACTCTTAAATCAAACAAATACAAATTAATGTATGAATGTATGAAGATCTACGTAAGGGCAATGCACGTCTTAAAATTTGGAGTCGATATTAACCGTTCGCGTCATATTGTTTCAAACACACCACAAAGGTAAACTATACTACGCCGAGATACTTTTCAGTGCAATTGCATTTTGAGAAAGACCACACTTAAATCTTGTATCGGTATTGGTATTTAACATCAGCGCAGTATTTAAACCCCTTTCCTAACACGTCTATTACAAAAAGAGTTATGAGGAAATCAAATATCGACAATACACAAGTTTAACGATTGCTTTCTAAGTTCTAGTGGCGTAACATAAAGTATGCAGATTAAGCAGTTGTATCAAAGTTATTTTAGCAATTATGAGCTCTTGTGAGTTGATCATAGTGGGAAAACGGTAGTATTTATTCATCCATAGGTAACAATACTAACATTATCTAAAACCTGTAAAAACAGTTATGTGTGATATTAGTACTTTATTATTCTGTTTTAGAAATTGAAGTCAAATGGTAGCATGACAGTCGTCGAACGGAGCTTGTTTATGGTATCCATGCCACCGTCATTTTACAACAAATTTATGAAAATTTGGAAGAGTTTTCGAATAATTCTCAAGAAAATATTTATATATACACTGCAGTTATTCATAAATAAACAAATAAATATATTATATCCTTACACCCAATCACAGCGTTCCTCAGTTGACTTCCTTCACCTGCCTTGGGTACACGAAAGGCCAATCTAAAGCCATGAAAATGTAATACAACTTTTTTCCCTATAGTCTGAATGAGACGGGCACCTAAACCAACCCAAATAGTTAAATCCAGCCGGAGTATACTTTCTGATTACCCGATTGTTAATTCTCCCTTTTTATCCCAAGTTATTGACTTCTGCTTTGAAAAAATCGCATAGAAAAACTGAAGGTCAATGATATTTAAACCAAGTTTCGTGAACCTTGGCTTTGTTTTTGGAAAAGTTGACTTGCAGTGATTAATCAGACAGTTTAACGATCCTAGGTTCATCCTGGCTAATCGACCAAAATTTCATCATGGAATTATTTCGATAAGATCAGGAAAACCTTTTCTGTTTTGAAATGACATTATTTGTTTCAAACGAGGACAGCGGTGAAAAAAAAAAAAATATTATCAACACAAGAAATCTTCATGCTTGGATCGGGAAAAATTGTTACAATAAAAAAGAAACCATATAACAAAGTATGTACGACTTATAAAACAAAAGTTGCACTAAAATCCCAAAATTTGTTTTCTGTCAAAAAAGAACATTTAATCTTGCATTTCGAGTTGTTCAAAATTCATCGCCAAAACACCAAGTACCCATACCGTTATTGCAACACGATGTTGTAGATGCACCCAAAAATGTTAAATATGTCACCACTATTTGAACGCAAATCTTAATATAATCAAATTTTACCATAAAAAGTGAAAAGGCATCTTCTGTTTAATACAGAGATAGGGTAAATAATCTTCACTAAGATGTTGTAATAGAGTAAACAAAAAAGACTTTATGTTTACATTTTTGTTTATTTAACATATTCGTGTGTAAATAAACAGATTATTTACCGAAATAGCACCTGTAGCCTGTACATGCTCGTTTTAAACTTAAATTCAAATCAAGGCACAGCAATTCTTCATTAGATATATTATCTTGCACTCTAATATTGGCACTGTAATCTCCCTACAATAAATAAAATACCACACATTCAGAGTTTATAGAATCCAACAACATTGGAAATGATCTGCTAGCACGAAGTTTCTATGTTTGACGTCCTGCTAGGGAAAGTGCTGGGAAAGTTCACTCCCATTCAGTCCACAAAATGGCCATCAGACGGCAGAGCGCCCCACGACCCCAGCAAATCATAAAAAGGCATGCTTTCAGTAAGTGCGAGTACTCTTGGATCGGCACTTTGTGTTTTTTTTCTTTCTTTTTTTATGCTTCGTGTCGATCAGTTGAGTCAATCCTTTTCCAACTGATTTTTAGAGTTTGTTTTTATGTTGTGCTGTTACATTACTGTCCCAGGTTAAGGGTTCCAAAACATAGCAACTGTCATGTTTAACTCAACCGTATTCCTTATGTGGCTGTCCCAAGTCAGGAGCTGTATTCCAAAGGTTGCCATTAGTTACTGACTGCCATATTTGATTTTCGTTTATTGATTTTAGCAAATATCAGGACGTTGGTTTTCCCTTTTGAATTTTTTCAGATGTTGTCATGCTGGGGTATTTTATACCTTACTACACGGCATGGGTTTTCTCATTGTCGAAGGCCATGCATACGGAGACCTATATAAATGATAACAGTCACGTCCCTTGATTACTGGTGGATATTTGTCTCATTGGCAATCAAATCAGATCTCCTTATTTTTATATTCAACAGTAGACTGTTTCCTATACATGTTGTCTAGCTCTAAGGGGACGACCGTTTGATTTTCTAGGGGGATGGGGAGGGGAGAATTGAAAATGAATGAATGTGCTTAAGACAGGGGTGAAAATGAATATTCTGAAAAAAATGCGTGCGTAACAACAGATGAAAATAAATGATTAATCTGGAAAAATCCTCCTGCGGCGGGGTTAAATTTCAAAATTTTGTTAAAAAGGGGCGTTAGCTGCCAGATATAAAAAAAAATATGATTTTTTTTTTGTTCAATCATTAATGAAAGTAAAAAAGTGAAATAATAATTCGCTTTTAGCAGCCAGTTTAGTTCAATTTTGTCAAAATAAGCTAAGAAACATCGGTGATGAATTATTCACTTATATGTGAATAATTCGACCTCATTGAATCCGTATTCATGTGACCTTCCATTTAACCCTTTAGATGGAGATAGGTTACGCATGTTTTTAGAAATTGAGGAAAAGAATGTCAACATTGAAAGTGAAACAAGGATGAACCATTTGGTTGACTGATTCGATCCACACGAAATCATTCTTATACAGGTGAAAACGACGATAAACAAACTTTTTAACCGACAATATGAAATTAAACAGACCTAGAAAAATCCATTTACACGTGGTCGCTATCTATTTATATTTATATTTATGTTTAAATCGGGTTATATGACCGTCGGCAGTCTTCGGAGTTCATCTCAATGGTTAATTAGATGACGTCTAGACAAAAATACACATGAAATGCTGATACATATTATCGACTTCAAGCATCGTTAATTGTTTATTTCAGACTTTTTGTAATTTGGATATACGTTTTAGTATGTTATTAATCAAATATGAGAGTTTGAGTCAAATCGGTGAACATGAATTTGACAGCTAATGTCCCATTAAGAATATAACAATAAAATAAAAATCATGCGCTCACAAATTCGTCAACTTATTACTTAGATGCAATAAAATAATCTGATGAAAAACGATATTTCAAAATCTCTTCTAATTCTGTCATTGACTATGAAGTGATTTGTTAAAATAACTGATATTTAACCAGAAAATCCAAGCCATTTGAATGTTAACACAACGACTAATTTTCTCGCATATCAGACAAGGGGGAAGTTTGTATATCAGAAGTAACAACTGATACAGCAGATAATCCTTGTCTGAATTGTTCAATGTAACGGAGTTGATTTAAACAATCGTATTTATTCTTCCATTTTTTTCAATTTTTCGTAAATTAGCACTAGAAAATTTATTGAAACATGATATATAATTTGCAAAGCTTCAAGTTGAAATTGTTTTAGCACAGGTAGTAATTTCTTTCTAATTGCAGAGTCAATTGTGACTTGCGATATCACTATGCAGAAAACCCGTTTACTACAATATCTTCCCTTTTCACGAATATGACTTACCGAATTAGACTATTTACCGGATTTGTAATAACATAAGCAACACGACGGGTGCCACATGTGGAGCAGGATCTGCTTACCCTTCCGGAGCACCTGAGATCACCCCCAGTTTTTGGTGGGGTTCGTGTTGCTTTGTCTTTGGTTTTCTATGTTGTGTCATCTGTACTATTATTTGTCTGTTTGTCTTTTTATTTTTGGCCATGGCGTTGTCAGTTTGTTTTCGATCTATGAGTTTGACTGTCCCTCTTTCAAACTTCTCGTCCGTTCGTAAGTAGTTATCTAATTATAAAAGATCTATAATTTATTAAGTTTATAATGTCATACTCACAGCTGCAAACCAAGAAAGTACTGAGGGCATCTGAGGCATGCGTATCATGTAATTTCGAATAGACAAGGTTCGTGGCGGTTGTGGGCACTGGTTTTGTGTTACATTATAGGAATGTAACATAGTCTTTATCTGGTTCCCGATGTTACCCATAAGTCCAGCCCAGTCTTGTGAAATCATGTCATCTACCATAGTACATAGATTGTTGTATCTACTGTGAATAGAAATAAATCCATAATAACGGTAACACCCTACCGTACTTACTGGATGTCCTACAGACAAACTAATACATTTTCTGTAACAAAATAGAACAGAATATTTATAGAAAATAATATATGTTTTCATATTATTTATGAACACAAGGAGATGTTGGCTATACGTCAATTGAACAGCAACCAAAAGACACCAAAAATCGAAAGACATTTCCGAAGCGTATGCCGTCAGCTTATATTATACATCTGGATTAATATAATTGGGAAACGTAACTTATTTCGATCCCAATTACAAAATCATTTATTTTAGCTAATTCAAGAATATCTAAGCAAAATCCAACACGTAGAATACAAGGTACAGGAATATCAAAACTTTACAAGATCCAACACGTAGAATACAAGGCACATGAATATTAAAACTTACCAAGATCCGGCAACTCCCAGAATATAAGGTACAGGAATATCAAAACTAACCAAGATCCAACACGTAGAATACAAGGTACAGGAATATCAAAACTTACCAAGATGCAACACGTAGAATACAAGAGGAATATCAAAACTTACCAAGATCAAACACGTAGAATACAAGGTACAGGAAATTAAAACTTACCAAGATCCAACACGAAAAATACATGGTATAGGGATATCAACCCAATACGTTTTCCGTTTTATTGACATCTCCATTGAAGAATCTCCGACTGTGCGGGTTAGCTGCATGTCAGCGGAGAAATAGAAGTTACCAGGGATGGTTACAGGCATTGGAGATATATTCATATGAGAAATGGTTGCTGGCGTGTTTGGATTTTTGTCTGTAACAAAGTCACCGTATAAAGTTAATGGATCAGTTTTAAACTTTTTCTATTTTTGTATGTTTATGCTAGAACACAAAAAGTCCGTCGATTATAAGGCATGTTTACCTCGGACGTTCCCCTGAATATAAATTTTAAATATAAAAATGGCAAAAGTGAAAACATGTCAAAATTTAAATGAAGTTTACATTTGTCTGTCTTTACCTTGTGTAAAATGTTTGAAGTTTTTTTAAGTGTCGGACACTCTTGTGATTAATGTCTTATAAACCAACTAAAATAGTTTTAGAAAATGTCTACCATGTAGTAAGCAGGATAATAAAGAAACTGAAGAAGGCCAGTGGCCGAAACGCCTTTAAAATGGTTTATTTTCTACAATAATGTAATGTATGTTCACTACTGGAATTTTGAAACAAGAATAAAATAGTTAAGTTATAACTTATCTGAGATAGTGACGTTCATTTGAATTATCATTCAATATGAAAAGGATATTCGTGCAAGACAATAATTAATGCAGAAACCACCTTGTAATGTTTCTGAAATAGTAATAGCTTCATGTACTTTGTTAAAATTTAAAACAATAAATTTATGAATTAAAATTTATACTCACTACAGTTAGAGACTTCCAGCGATGTATACTCAGCCAGAACACCTCCGATAGAAAACAAGAGTATCCATATCATTTTTTCCATCGCGTGTAAATCGCCTTTGATAAGTGTATAAAATTTGTGAACAGTAAATATGTGAACAAGCCAGAAGATGAGAAAGTTGGACTGTGTTGTTTAAAGCATGTGAGAAGACTGGGAGATGACGCCGTCTTTTATCGTTATTTTATAAAATATGTCAGATTTATCGTGTCACGGCCATCGTTATTTTTGGCGTCTGTGCTATCTGATTAAATAATTAGCAGTAAATGCAATTAAATTCGTATTCTGATAATAGTAATTTGAAGGATTACAATAGGGATCGTATTACAATAACTATCTTTAGGTACATATTGACCAAGAGGTTACAGGGTTCTTTAGAATAAGTTGCTTATACGTTAGGATTAAGTCGATGAGATTAATATGGAACCATTAATTAACATTTCTCTGTTCTAACATTGGTCTTCTCTTTGTCTAACTTTTCTTAGGCATGTCTGTTGATATTTATAATAACAAATATATGACATTGAAGATGATTGATATCGGCGGGAGAAAAAGTTTCGGTGTTATTATATGCTGACGAACTAGTGTTATATGCAAACTCTGAAAACGTATTACAAATTTTATTGGATTCACTGAATATATGGTGTATGGCACGCCTGAACCACTTTTATTAATTAATCTTAGATTATCTCAGATAAACTAGGATTATCTCAGATAATCCCGGTTTATCTCAGATACACTAAGATTATCTCAGCTTAATTCAAATTCGAGAAAATCCTAGTTTATCTCGGAAAATACAGAAAATTCATTATCTGGAGAAAATCCCGGTTTATCTCAAAATATTAAGAAAATCTAGGTTTTTCTGATCGATTTTCAGATAATCCTAATTTATCTCCAGATAATTAATTTTCTCAATTTCAGATAATGAATTATCTCATTTCTCGAGAAAATCTAGGTTTATCTCGGATTCTAAATATACAAAAGAACAATGTAACGAGTGTTTTAATTGGACGACAATCCGGCGTTTAACGTTTTACTTTCTCTTTGAAACCATGATGTGACGAATTCACTTCCTATTATTGGGTGAACGGGGATGTCCCAAAATATGGGTCATAATTTTGCGAGATTTTATATAAAAATTAGCGTCCTTTTTCAGAGGAGGGGCGACATTCAGCATACGGCACGCAATTTTTACTTATATTATTGACCGATCGCTGTGTTATTGTGTCATTTATCACTACTCGTGGTGTGAACATCACCGTTATTGACACCTGGACAAGCGAAATTTGTTAAATCAATTATAAAAACAAGTAATATATAGAAGGGCTGATTATATACAATATACATATACTTTGTACATACATAATAAACAAATTTGGTAGCTATTTCTTTTACACAAACTGACTGTTTATTACCGACGGCTAATTTCGACATCGATAATCATTGAATTCTCATATTTTAATTCATTCAGTCGGTTTTAATTTTTTAATCGTGACAAAGTTTTGTAAAATATGTAATGTTAACTATTGCATTATTTCGTCATTTGTCAGTAAACTAAATAGATAGCACTAGAAAGAAGGCAACTAAGTAATCCAATACACATAATGCACGATTCAATTATGGAAAAACAATTATTTCATCATGGTTATTCATTAGACATAATTTTCATTTTGTTTTCAAAATAATTAAATACATAAGAGTTTATATGCCACGAACCTTAAAGCGCCAGTTATTAATTGTAGGATATAAACAATAAATGTACATTGTCTGAAATACAAAATGTGTGTGTACTCGCTAACACGGGTGTCATTCGGTTTATCGAGAGAAATGATCGTTAAAGAATATCTAACGAAGGTCAAGTGTTGCGAGACGATCGTGAAAGCTCTGGTACCGGATCGTGAAAGAAATTTAATCGAGAAGACATATGAAAAGTCATTAAATAATCTAATTTAATAAATTACACGGACAAATTTACAACAAAATAAAACTGTCTGTCAAAATGGTTGAACATTATGATCAGTATGTGAGAAAATCCAGTTCTAAAAGTACATAGGTTTTACAAAACAACAAAAGGCATATTGCTCCTCGACATTTCAGTGACATCAAAAATGTAAACAAACATGATTTTTTCACAAATTCCAATAAAATAAACTATTTTTCTTCGAAAACGGGCATTCTATTTGAATGCATCAAATTGTTCTCATAGTTATTTTGTATAAACATAATCTGAAACTTGGTAAAAAAGAAATATTTACACAAAATTGATATTTCGGATCGTGAAAGATCACGTACCGGTTTTTGAAGATCGTGATAAGGATCGTGAAAGATCTAATGCTACGAAGACGTTCATATTATTCTTCAATTATATGATAATTAATATTTGTTATTGGTATTAAAAAAACTAGATTGGCATGACTGACCCGGGTCTCTTTTGCTGGTGAATAGGACTTTAATCGTGCAATGCCATTGGATCTAATATCTTATAATACCACACAGACTTGGTAAATTGTATCAATACCAGTCCATTTGTCCGTCCTTCATAAGTATTGTTTTTTTATACATTAAGATGTTTTATTTTGTATTTATAACTTTGAATTCTCATTTTTATGCCCATTATATTTATAAAGCTTACATACCTGTATGCTATAGGGCCACGGTATTTGGTGTATGGTGTACATGTCTGTCTGCATGTTTCATATATGACGTTAATTGTATTTGATATATTGAATGATAGTAAGATGTCTGTGTCTGACTGTCGGTCAGGGTTCATATACTTTCGACCTCATGTTCCGAATTAATTGGCCAAACATAACTTTTACATTTGTCAGTTTCTAAGGTACTGTAAGCATCGGAACACCTATATTTGGTGTACGGGATTTTTGTAGAGATCTGTATGTCATGGTTCAACTGACCTTGACCTCTTTTTATGAATCATTGACAATTTTAAGAGTATGTGACACTTCTAGTAAAACCCTTAATATTACAGAAGTTCAACAAATATACTATCATAAGTAAAGCAGACGAGACATTTCAGCATTTGCGCTCTGGTATTCTTTATTCTGTAATATATAGTTATCTCATTGGAAATCAATCCACATCTGCTACGTTGTATACAAAGATACATATAACAAAATGTTGGTTATCGTTCAATCTCAAATTTTTCATGAAAGATGGTGTTTTTGCTATAAGTTTTTGGTTGATGGTTAACTTTTTGGTTTAAACGCTGCATACCCATATTATTGGCTAAATAATGGCGGTCTGCCTGATTTGTACTAGTCCGATTCTCAGAGCTGAATTTTTCACACTGATTTAGACACGTTTTAAGTTAAATTTTTTTAACTTTAGAGGTAAAGTGTTGAATTTAAAAAACAAATGATAGCTTTCATGTTCTTTCTTATAAAAAAAGTTACAGGCTTCAACCAGTTGCAGGTATATCAAATGATAAAAGAAATATTGATTTTTTATTATTAAGTCTGGTCACGCATTATCTTTCACGATCAAAATAATGCGTTGCCTGATCTATGACGATCAAGTTTGACGAAAAAATCAACAAAATTCAAGGTTTCATAAACAAATGAACGATTTTAAGGGAAGAGCATACTTTTATTTTACTGTACTTTCGGACACAACAAAGATTAAATTTCAAATATATCATGATATATTGAAATATGACCATTATAGGTACAAAAAACGTGTTTTTTTTAATTAATCACATAGACATGCATTGTGCCTTTTGTGTTTTTTCATAAAGTACTGCATATTTTCTTTATCTTATTGCACAGTAATGTTGAGGAAGTTGAATCATTTTGACAGACAATTTTTTTTGTTCGGATTTGTTCCGCATTTTGAAAATTCAGCGATTTTTTCACACATTCTGAAGTAGAATTTACATTTTATTACATTCACGATCCGGTACCAGAGCTTTCACGATCGTCTCGCAATACTTGACCACCGTAAGATATTCTTTCACTATCATTTCTCTCAATAAACCGAATGACACCCGTGGCTAGGAAACAGGAGAAAACCTCTTCGTTCTGTTTCTAAATCTTGAACCAAAACGTTTTATTCTTACAGGTAAATGTAATTACAGGTGACAAGATTGTCAAAGCTTTACCTGTTATAGTGCTAATATATAACAACTGCCCCCAATAAATGTTCACATAACAGGAAAAAAGTAATAAAAGTTTGTTTAAGACTGTTCAAAACAATATTTTAATTCATGCACGAAAAAGAAATTTTGAAAGATTTATATTCTTATGGTTTCTGTTCAATCTTTTTCTCTAATATATTATTCTAAACCTATCATATTTTAACACAAGACATAAAAGCACAATCCAGTGATAAAAAAACTGTCTCTTTGATTATATTTAAGGAAGGACTTATCTTTTTAGACAATCAGTTGGATTTTTGTCGAGCCTGCGACTTTTGTCGCAGAAAGCTCGACATAGGGGGGCGTTAGCTAACTTCTTAAAAGCTTTATATTTTAGAAGGTGGAAGACTTGGATGCTTCAAACTTTGTATATAGATGCCTCATGTTACGAAGTTTCCGTCTGTCACATGTCCATTGTCCTTTACCTCATTTTCATGGTTCAGTGACTACTTAAAAAAAAGTTAAGATTGTTTGAAATGATAATTTCTCTCTTATTATGAGTAACATGATAACTATGTTTTGTATTTGCGTACCTTGCAAGGTCCTCATGTCCGTCAGACAGTTTTCACTTGACATCGACCTCATTTCATGGATCAGTGAACAAGGTTAAGTTTTGGTGGTCAAGTTTATATCTCAGATACTATAAGCAAAAGGTCAAGTATATTCGGTATATGGAAGGACTGTAAGGTGTACATGTCCAACTGGTAGGTGTCGTGTGACCATGACCTCATTTTCATGGTTCAGTGGTTATAGATAAGTTTTTGTGTTTTGGTCTGTTTTTCTTATACTGTATGCAATATGTCTACTATATTTGGTGTATGGAATGATTGTAAGGTGTACATGTCTAGCTTGCAGGTGTCATCTAACCTTGGCCTCATTTTCATGGTTCAGTTGTCAAAATTAAGTTTCTGAGTTTTGGTATTTTTTTCTCATACTTTATCTTCATTCTCAATAAACTATATACATAGGTATAGAGAAGACATTTATGTACAATATTTACAATAAGACAGAACAAACAGAACCATTGCTCAGACAATATATGAAGTATA